TGTGTGTGTATATATATACAAATATACAAATATATATACATATATATATATGTGTGTGTGTGTGTGTGTGTGTGTGTATCCATACATACATTCACTGTAGAATTTATTGAGTATATACATTATAGGTGCCATAAGCAGAAGTAAGCACCCTTAAATAAATCTATCGGCCTGATTCGGGACTGAGGGTCTATCCACCCTTACCTATCTTCTATCTCTCAATTTCTACGACGTATTCGTTAGTCTCCTATTTCCCGTCTTCTATATCTTGTTCTTGTTCACTTCAACGACTAACTCAATGCTTTATCCACTCAGGTCTACGCCGCCACCTGACCAGGAGTTTGGACATAGTGCGAAGCAGTCACCAGCCGAGGCACAGCGCCCTATGTACTGCAAATTAGGACTCTCTGAGACCATCCATGCCCTAGTGGCTGACAATGAGGTGCACAATGCTAAGGTACACTTTACTGTATATGTTCTATTTTTAGAACTTTTAGTTGCTTCTATGTACTGCAAATTAGGACTCTCTGAGACCATCAATGCCCTAGTGGCTGACAATGAGGTGCTCAATGCTAAGGTACATTATACGGTATATGTTATATTTTTAGAACTTTTAGTTGCTTCTACGTACTGCAAATTAGGACTCTCTGAGACCATCCATGCCCTAGTGACTGACAATGAGGTGCTAATGCTAAGGTACACTATACTGTATATGTTCTATTTTTAGAACTTCACGTTGCTGTCTGTATCACGATTTGGGGCTCTCTAAAACCATCTATGCCCAATTACGTGATATTCTGTCCCAATTCGGCAAATATGCGGTTTGCTGTGTGAGATATATACAAATCGTGTGCGATACGAAAATAGAACTTTGGCAAATCAAGAGGAATTTGGTGGGGGTCTAGACTAATCTGTACAATATAGAATTGTTATCAAGTGATTTTTGGGGTGAAGTTCCATTTCCAAATCTTTAGCTGTGCGCATGATTTGGCACAATTTTTTTGGACGGTTCGTAATTCATTTGGTTTTTATTTGATTTATTCAGTTTGGTTTGGTTTTTCTCATCGACTTTGCAGGCCGTGGGGATGGTGTGGCTAAGTTTGAGTGCCGATACGGTACGTGAACTCATCGAACGACTCAATAAAGGGACACCTGTTGCCATGGTGATGGAGCTTTATCTGCTCGGACCTTACAAATTCTCAGCAACTAATCCCAACAGGACGGTACTAGACTCGGTTAATCAGAACTTTCCTTCCAAGGTATGTCTGTTTGTTTATGTGTGCGTGTGTGCGTGTGTACTAGATGATGTATGCTTGGTATTTTGCATGGGTTTGAGGTAAAGTCTGCGTGTGCACAAGATAGTGTATGCATGCTTACCTGTATGGTTGTGTTTAAATAGCTATCTCCCGCCTTCTTGGTTCGGTCTACAGCATTTGGTGTAGAAAGCTGTGCGTGTCCGCATAGTTTTCGCTCCTTTTTTATTAACGCGCGTGTTTATTCCATCAGATATTATTATTTTTTGTAATAGTATTTGTCATTAGTGTGGTTGTTTTGTATATTTTTGATTTTGGTCCGTTCCGTGCGTGGTTTTTGTTTTGTCTTTCATTTGTTTCCTTCCTTGCTCGTGTTCTCAACAGTAGCCACTGGTCTGGTTTCTATGCCACATTCAAGTTTAAAGGAACAAGTTGTCCACTTTGTTCGTGCGGCCTTCACTCTCGCGATAGCAGATAGTACCTATGTACACTGATCTGCATTAATAATTAATCCTCCTAGCAACCACGATCACAGACTGATATGTTTAAATATGAATATATATATATATATATATATATATATATATATATTAATTATTCTCTTCTCAATCCCTCTTTCAGTTACAAATACGGTTACAAGCATCCAATTTGCGATCGAAATTAGACCAAGCTGCCGTGGCGGGTGGTACTACACTGCCCATTCTGCAGTATGACGTCATGACCAAAAATACCACAGAAAAAGACCGGCGCAGTCTGGTACCATTAGTGGGCTCAGCGGAATGGAGGTACGTTTATTAAGGCGTATACCATTAGCAACTTATTTTTTAGGGGGTTTCGTTACGTAAATGTGCATGAGAATATGCCACAGACAGTGGCAGGCGTACTTTGGCACCACTAGTGGGTAGGTACGTGATATGGTTGCGGTATTTAGTGCGTGTACGTTTTCTCCGTGTTGGTCATATAAATTTAGTTACAGGACTGCCAAAAAGAGTCAAACGCATTGGATATACGTATGATGCCTGCATTAGGGTGCGTACGCTATTCAAAACGTATACGTTCACTCTTGTATTTGGGACGCCAATTCGTACAATTAAATACCTTAGATGGAGATGAATACAACGCGGATACCTTCCGACTCACCAAGGTTTCCGTTCTCTCGTCCGACTACATCCGCTGCACCACTCAATATACCTCTCATGAATATATATCATTCACTAACACAAAGGAACATTTTAATGCACTTTACACTCTCTACTCTAATCTCAATTTCAGTCATATATATATATATATATATATATATGTATGTCTTTAGCTAAAACCATGTACTTTACACTCTACTCTAATCTCTATCTGAGTCATATATATATATATATATATATATATATGTGTGTGTGTGTGTGTGTGTGTGCGTGCGTGTGTGTGTGTGTGCGTGTGCGTGTGTGTGTGTATGTGTGTATATGTGTATA